GTTGTCCATGTGGACCGCCATGGGGCATAGACGGCGCCCTGCATGGCCCCCTGCCCCACCCTGTCCAGCAAGCGGGTTGTGCTGAAGTGTATGCTCTCTTGATGCTTGTCAATAAAGTGGGGGTGGAGCCCGTCCATGTAGCTTGTGATTGTAAGATGGTAGTAAATAGATTCGGGAGGCTGGTCCACAGCAGTCTCTAGATCCTGTTGCGAATGCCACAAAAGCAGTGCGATAATCTTACTGCGCCTATCACTGTTGAGAACATTCGCAGTCACCAGTCTTGGGCCAAAGCCGCCGCCCAGGGCTGTGCATGGTGGGCCTGGAGAGGCAATCGCGAAACTGACAGATTAGCCAAGTCCGGAGCCTGGATGCACAGAATGCCCCCCAGTCTCCACGACGAACTCCGTGCCCTAGATTTCCAGGTGCGCGGCCGTGCTCGATCGCGGGAGTTGGGGGGGTGCTTTGTCCAGGATGTATTCCAACGATGCGGACAAATTCCGAGCCAAGAGGCTTAAGGCACCAACTTTACTCGAGTTGGTGACTGAAGCGAACGGCCATGAGTTAGTGCGAGTGGGTAAGGGATATTGTGTGGAGTTCATGAATGGTCGAGGGGCGCGGTTACCGCGTTTCCGTGTACCGGTTTCCCCAGGCCCGTTCGATTGTCGCACCCCTCCCCGCAGGCTTTGGAGCGGTGCGGGTGGTCGAGTATGGTGCAGTGTCTGTGGGGCGCTCGGCACTGCCAAGGTGATCCTCCTGGCCAGGCCCTGCCACAACGGCCCCGAGAACAAGGCTGCCTGCCGCTGCCTGGGTCTCCTGAAGAGCGGGATCGACCCCTCCTCGGGCGCGGAGTTCGGCAGGTCGGTCCCGTTCAAACGCGAGTGATCCCTGGACAGTGTCGGGCTACATTATTATCCCCCCTTCTTGCTCCTGGTGCTGCATTAGCAGGATCTGGAGCGCCAAGGACCTAGAGGACCTAGAGGATCGAGGACCGGAGAGAATCGAGGAGGAGTATCGAGGATCGAGGCAACTAGAGGATGAGGATCAAGGACCGAGGCCATTCGAGGAGAAAGAGGAGGATCGACAAAACATCGAAGAGGACGATGATCGGGGATCGAGAAGAATCGAGGACGAGGATCGGGGATCGAGGAATTCCGAGGAGGAGGATCGAGGGCCGAGGAGGATCGGGAAGGAGGCACGAGGAACGAAGAGGATCGAAGAGGAGGATCGAAGATCGACGAACGTCGAGGAGGATGATCGAGGACCGAGGAATTCAGGGGAGAACGATCGATGGACGGGGGGGACCGGCGTTGAGAATCGAAATTCGAAGAGAATCGAGGAGGAAGATCGGGAATCGAGGAAATTCGGGAAGGGGGATTGCGGCGGACCGAGGGGGATCAAGGACGAGGATCAGGGCACGAGAAACTCCGAGGAGGATGATCAAAGGCCGAAGATGATCGAAGGTGAGGATCGGGGATCGAGGGAATTAGAGGAGGCTCAAGCATCGAGGACATCCGTGGAGGATGACCGAGAATGGGGGAAGCTCACCGAGGAAGATCGAGCCGGATCGAGGACTGGGATAGATAATCGAGAACATTCGATGAGGAGAATCAGCGATCGAGGAGAACCGAAGAGGATCAAGGAGGGAGGTCTTGGATCGAAGACATTCGAGGAGGATGAAGGATCGGGAAGAATCGACGGATGGGATCGAAGAATGGGGAGGATCGGAGTTAAAGGATGATCGATGAGGAGGTTCGACGACCAAGAAAATTCGAGGAGAGTCGAGGATCGAGGAGGAGGGTCGAGGATCGAGGAAATTCGAGGAGGAGGATTGAGGATAGAGGACCGAGAAGGAGGATAAGGCATCGAGGAGGATCTCAGAGGAGGACCGATGATCGAGGGGTATCGAGGGGGAAGATCGGGGACGGGGACCGAGGGAGGTCGGGGATGAGAATCGAGGATCGAGGAGAAACGAAAGGGAGCATCGAGGATCGAGGGGGGTCATGGAGGTCTGTGGGCGGTCGGGGATGATCAAAGGGGATCGAGGGTGAAGGCCGAGGATTCAGGGGGGTGGAGGAACAGGAACGATGATCGAGGGGGAGGAGGAAAGAGGAACGAGGAGGAATGGGGAAGAGGATCGGGGACCCAGGGGGATCTAGGAAGCTTCAGGGTCGAGGGGGGTCGTGCAGGAAGATCGAGGAGCACCGAGGAGGACCGATGACGAGAACTGATGATCGAGGATGATCGAGGATCGAGAGGGGGATCGACGAGGGCCAGGCATCGAGGAGGATCGCGGGGGCGCGCATCGAGGATCGAGGGAACTCGAGGAGGACCGAGGATCGAGGAGGGTCGAGAAGCAGGATCGGGGATCGAGGGGGGGGGGTCGGGGAGGAGGATCGAGGATCGAGTAAGATCTAGGAGGAAGAGGAGGAGGATCACGGATCGAGGAAGTTGGAAAAGGAGGGTCCAAGATCGAAGAGGATCGAGAGGAGCCGGGTCGAGGATCGACGGAACTCGGGGAGGATCGAGGATCGAGGGGGGATCGCGGAGAAGGATCGAGGATCGATGGGGGGTCGGGGGGGGTCGAGGATCGCGGGGGATCCAGGAGGAGGTTCGGGGATCGAGGAAGTCCGAAGAGGAGGATCGAGGATCGCGGAGGGTCGAGGAGGAAGAGGAAGGATTCAAGGACGATCGAGGAGAAGGGCCGAAGCTCGAGGAGGATCGAGGACGAGAGTCGAGGATGATCGGGGATGAGGATCGAGGATCGTGGGAGATCGAGGAAGAGGACCGAGGGAGATCGAGGAAGAGGATCGAGGATCGAAGAAGTTTGCAGCAGATCGAGGATGGAGGAGGATCGAGGGGGGTTGAGGATCGTGGAGGAGGACCCAGGATCGAGGAGGATCGGGGCGAGGATTCAGCATCGAGGAAGACCGAGGAGGATCAATGATCGAGGAGGATCGGGAGAAGGATCGGGGATCGAGGGGGATCGAGGAGGATCGAGGGCCGAGAGGAATCGATGAGGAGGATCGAAAGTCGAGAAGGGCCGAGAATCGAAGAAATTCGGCGAGGGCCGAGGATCGAAGTAATTTAAAGAGGAGCATCGAGGAAGGAGTATCGAGGAGGATCGAGGATCTAGGAGGAGGAGGATCAAAGAGGAGGAAAGAGTATCGAGGAGGAACGAGAAGGATCGAGGATCTAGGAGGAAGACCCAGGAATTATAAGAAAAACGAGGGCCGAGCAAGACCGAGGAGAAGGATCTCGGATCGAGGAGAATCCGGAGGATCGAGGTGGAGTAGGAGGAGGACCGAGGATCGAGAACATTCGCGAGAGAGCATCGATGATCGAGGAAACCCAAGGAGGAGGATGGGGGACCGAGAAGGACCGAGGATGCTAATCGAGGACCGAGCAGGATCGCGGGGGAGGATCTGGGATCGAGGACGTTCGGAGGAGGGGGATCGCGGATCGAGGAGGGTCGAGAAAGATGATCGAGATTCGTGCAAAAAGGATCCGGGGCCGACGAGAGGATCGGGGCCAAGGGTTCAGGATCGGGGAGGATCGAAAAGGATCGGGGATCGGGGAAGGTCGAACGGGGGGGGGATCGAGGAAGAGGATCGGCGACAGAGGAGGATCGATGAGGAGAATCGAGGACCGAGGGGGAGCGAGGAGGAGGGTCGCAGAGGACCGAGGAGGATCGAGGAGAAGGATCGCGAAGGATCGAGGAGGAGGATCGAGGAGGATCGGGGTGGAGCGAAGATCGAGGGAGAGCGAGGAGGAGGATCGAGGATGAGGAAGGATCGGGGAGGAGCGAGGCGGAGGATCGAGGATCAAGGAGGATCCAAGAACAAAAGATCGAGGACTCGAGGAAGATCGAGGACTTGGATCGAGGATGGGGAGGATCGAGGAGGACCGAAGACCGAGGAAATTGGAGAAGAGTCGACGACCGAGGCAGATCGAGGAAGAGGGCCACTGATCGAGGGGGAGAGAGTCGCGGGTCATTGTTGTTCCACGTCTTTTTTTGTTTTAACACGGGTCATTGTTTGTGACTGGTCGAGAAACATATTTCCGGCCCCCAGGGCGCGATCCGTGTGAGGGTGTGTGTGTGTGTGTGTCAAAATTCGCTTCTGGACAGGGCTCACACACCAACCAGCCCTTCCGGGTGCATCTTTGGAGGATATCCCACGCCGCTGGGCCATAATACACTTTTGTTGACCCAGACGTCCTGGATGTTTGAAGGCGTGTAGGTTGGGCCCGTAACGCGCTCAAAAATGCAACAAACAACGTTGTGCATTTCTATCGTGTTTGACTGCGCTGTTTTAGCGTTTTCAGGCCCGTCGCTGTGGATCTGCATGTTTCAGCGTTTTTTGCTTCTTGTCGAAGGCTGCTCCTTGTCTTCACTGCCATCTTCACTCCCGCTCTCCAATCCCTGCCGCCCCCCGTTCCCCCCCGTCCGTGCGCAGATCGCAATACATACTAGAAAACAAACACGCTCTCGCAACGCCTCAACACAGGACCGACACCGGCGCGGAACAGGCCCGCAGGCCCCGCGACCAGCCAGCAGAAACAAGAGAAGAACAACTGGACCAGGAGTAATTTCGAAGGGGACTGGACGCAAGAAGAAGGAGCTGAGGACGTCGTAGGCGGCATTGTTAAGCAGCGCAGCACGATCCACTGATCTGAAACAAGGCACCATCATCAGGACTCGGCACGCCAGCGCATGAATCGCTGTTATAGCGTATGTAGTCGTCGTTTGAGCCCAAAAGCGCAGATCAATTATTCCGATCATCGCCGTGTTCAAAGCGGTAAGGAAATTCCTAGGGCATGTTCAGGACGAACCACAGAGGATCGAGGACCAGAATGGAGGGGAGGGATCGAGGACCGAGGGGGGAGAATCGAGGACCGAGGAGGAAGACAAGAGGATCGAGAGGGGGCAGCGAGGAGCCAGGTCCGAGGAGGGGGGGCAGCGAGGGACCGAGGAGGGCCGCGGGCCGCGGCCGAACGCGCGCCTCTCGCCGCACACCTCCAGGACCTCGAGGCCCTTCGCGGCGGGCACGGCCAGCTGCACGGCCTCCCCGCTCGGGCGAGGCTCGCCGCCGCCTCCGACCGTCATCGTCGACGTCGGCGTTGGCGTCGACCGTCGTCGTCGTCGGCGGCGTCGGCGTCGTCGTCATCGTGGGCGTCGGCGTCGTCGTCGTCCTTGATCATCCCTGATTCTCGACCATCCTCTATCCTCCCCCTCCTCCTCCTCGATCCTCCTATGTCCTCCTCCTCCTCCTCCTCCTCCTCCTCGTCCTCCTCCTCCTCCTCCTCGTCCTCCTCCTCCTCGTCCTCCTCCTCCTCCTCCCCCTCCCCCTCCTCGATCCTCCTCCTCCCCGACGATCGATCCTCACCCTCCTCATCCTCGACCCCGACGCTCGATTCTCAGCCTCCTCCTCCTCGATCCTCCACCTTCTCCACCTCGACCATCGACCGTCCTCGGGCTGGCCGACCGTGGCGGCAAGCCCTCCGCCGGCGGCCGCCGCCACCGCCCGCCGCCGCTGCCCCGAGGGGGCAAGACGCACCGATACCACTGCGCCGGCGTCCGACGCACCGCGCAGAAGCAAAGACGGGCAGAGGAAAAAGACTATGCACATACACCGATTCTGGCTTGGCCCATCCTGAGCCCGGGATCGGTGCATACGCCCTCCTGCCTTGGCCAGGAAGGCACATGCACCGATCCTGGGTCGAGGATGGGCCTTGCCAGGATCGGTGCATGTGCATAGTCCTCTTCGCCCGAACGGGGGTCTTTCACAGTTTTCGGCCCCTCGGATTGGGACCTCGACGAGGCCCCCCGAAGCCTCAAAAACGGGCCCATCGCCCGTCGTCGTCGTCGACGTCGTCAGCGTCGTCGTCGACGTCGTCGTCGTCCACTTCATCCTCTCCTCTTTCTCCTTCATTCCCAGGGGGTCTTGGCGGCGCGCACAAGGGGATGGAGGGAGGGGGGAGGGCTTCTTAGAAGGAGGCTGCTTCTTAGAGGGCGCCGGCCTTACATCTGTAGAGACGGCCCGCGCCTTCTAAGAAGCAGGGGTGCTTCTAAGAAGCCCTCCCCCCTCCCCCCACCCCCCTCTGCGCGTGGCTGAGGGTCGGAAGAATAGAATAAACCTCTAGAATCAAAACGGAAGGCGTGCACCGTGTTCGGCCCCGAGAAGCGCCCCGCCGCGGGGCCCCAGACCGCCAACATGACGACCCGTGGCGAGACGCGAGGCCCCAGGAATGGGTCGAGACTGTGCTCATCTCGGAGGATCGGGTTGGGCGAGAGGGGGGGATAGCAAAGGGATGGGTTGAGAAGCAGCTTACGAAGCTGATCTTCCTGGCGCCGGAGGCGGCCGTGTATCGAGGAATGGGCCCCTCGGTGGGGCCGAAACCAGCTGCATGCAGCAAATTTCGTACCCCCCCTTTCCCAATCCCCCCCTTTCGTCCGGCCCGAGAGAAGGACGAGCTGAGACACTGGAAGCTCAAAATCGGCCCGAATGCGGTCCCCAAACACCTCCCAGGGTCTAACCGCACAAGTTCTCCGAGCTCCGTCCGGCCGTGGCGGCGAGGGGACCTTCCAAAAGCCAACTACTGGTATCTCAAACGGCCTTCCGTTGAGAATCAGGACTCTGTCATATCCAGCCGCCAGCCGGGACAACACCAGGGCTGGGAGAAGATGCCTGGGCCCGCGTTTTGCAACTTGCTCGAGCAAGCCGACGTCCTGGCCTCTCACAGAATTCCCGCTTGTGAGCGTTTTTTCTTCGGCGTCTCGCCATTGGGCGGAAGGGGTGGGGAGGGGGGAGGGGTCTGGCTATGGACCCCTGCTTAATGCGACTGTTTGCAACCGTCTGTTCGAAACGGGCGCCCAAAAATTACCAAGATCTTCTCCAAGGGGGGTAGTGGTGGGGTGCGAGGGCCGCGCCGATCGGCAAAACTATGAACAACTTGCGGGGCCATGATCCCGGGATCTTCTGGATCGGGTCAATCCAGACCGGGTCCGTCGGACTCCTCGCAGGATCCTGCAGGATCCTGCGCCAAAGCCCGGGTCAATGCGAAAGATCCTGCAAGATCCTGCAGGATCGTGCACCCAAGCCCGGGTCAATGCGATCATGGCCCTGCAGCATCCTGCAAGATCGGGCGCTCTGGCTGACCCCCGTTTGTGTCGACCCCCATCCCTTGAGCCCCAGATGCTCCCTCGCGCGCAACCCCCGGCTGGCGGCGTGAGGCGACTCGCCGCCACCGCCGCCGCCGAGGCGCGTCGTCGCCGCCGCCGCCGCCGATGCTCGTCGCCGCCCCCGTCAGCACGCAAAACAAGTCCGAAACGAATGGTTTCTGCACCACGTGGCGCCCCATTGGTGGGGACCTCCTCCCGTCCTCCTCTCTCGTCTCGACCTCTCCCCCGCTTCCCCCCTCCGTTTCTCCACGTCCGCCCCCTTCCCCCCACCCGCCTTCTCGCCAACCTCCTGCCGTGCTCGTCCGTCGTCGCTTGTCCGTCGGGCATGTCGTCTCTCGGGCCTCTGCCACTGGACCCCTCTTGCCCTGGTGAAGGACGGCCCCTCCAGCGGACCGGCCTGTCACCACGAGCAACATGTTGAACGGCCACGGGGGACGGCCAAGGGGCCCGGCGAGGAAACCCAGAAACCAACGACGCAGCAGGACCTTCAAGATGTCAAGGACGGTGAACTTCGGGCTGCGAAGAGACAGCCCCGCCAGTCCCAGCAGACCTCAACAGGCCCCCCGAATAGTCCCAGCCGGGCTCAACAAGCCCCCGCTAAGCCCACGAGTCGGACCCGCCCCCCCCAAAAACAAACATTGAGCACTCCGCCCCCCCCCCAAGAAACCGGCTCCTTAACGGGGCAGCCCCCCCCTCCAAAGGGGTGGGTCCGAACTACGACAACGACAACCACAACAACAACAATCATCTTAAAACTGATCGCTCTTATATATGCGCGCGCGTCACTCAATATGTAAATCCCAAACCCTCGATACCCACCCTCTTCGTCTTCGGTCATACCCCTTTGGGGGTATATCTTTTTTACTCGCCACGTGTAGTTGGCGCAGCCCCTAAAACAGGAAGAGCAGGGGGAAGGAGGAAGGGAGAGCGAGGAGGAAAAGAGTGGGGGGAGGGAGGGAGGAGGGAAGGGGCAAGGGGGGGAGGATGGATGGAGGACGAAAGAGGTTAGCAGGAGGGGAGGGGGGCAAAAGAGGAGGTAAACAAACGGACGAACCAGACAGACGGGTCGAGCGGCGGACTCTGAGGGGCGGGTCGGGCTGGCGGGGCGGGCGGACGCCAACGGACGGGTCGGGCGGCGGACCCTCGCTGGCGGGTCGGGCGGGCGGTGGCTTAAAGCGGGCGGGCGAGATGCCAAGAGAGCGAACGGGCGGGCTGTAACAGGCGGATCGGGCGGGCGAAACCTGGCGGGCGGGTGACTAAAGGGCGAATCCTGAATGAATCACGAGGCACACCCTCGATACCCGCCCTCTTAGTATTCGAACGTACCCCCCTTAGGGGGATTATTTCTCTTTGGAAGGGCGGGCGGAGGGACGAGGGAGGAGGGAAGGGAGCAGGGAGGGACGAGGGAGGAGGGAAGATGCTGAGAGGAACGGGACGCGGAGGGGGGAGGACGATTTAGAGGGAGAGAGAGAGAGAGAGAGAGAGAGAGAGAGAGAGAG